CGCTGGACGCCGCCGCCGCCGCCGTGGGGCTGTCCCGCGAGCGCGCCCTGGACTACTACGGGCTGTACGACGACCGCGGGCGCCCCTACGGCTACCCGGCCGTGTGCGAGGAGGACCTGATGCCCGAGGACGACCAGCGCGCCACTCGGAACCTGTTCATCGGGAACCTGGACCACAGCGTGTCCGAGGTGGAGCTGCGCCGGGCCTTCGAGAAGTACGGCATCATCGAGGAGGTGGTGATCAAGCGGCCCGCGCGAGGGCAGGGGGGCGCCTACGCCTTCCTCAAGTTCCAGAACCTGGACATGGCCCACAGAGCCAAGGTGGCCATGTCGGGCCGGGTGATCGGCAGAAACCCCATCAAGATAGGCTACGGCAAGGCCAACCCCACGACCCGCCTCTGGGTGGGCGGCCTGGGACCCAACACCTCGCTGGCAGCGCTGGCCCGGGAGTTCGATCGCTTTGGAAGCATCCGGACCATTGACCACGTCAAAGGAGATAGCTTTGCCTACATCCAGTACGAGAGCTTGGACGCCGCCCAGGCCGCCTGCGCGAAGATGAGGGGCTTCCCTCTGGGGGGTCCAGACCGCAGGCTGCGGGTGGATTTTGCCAAAGCAGAAGAGACTCGGTACCCGCAGCAGTACCAGCCCTCGCCGCTCCCGGTGCACTACGAGCTGCTCACGGACGGATACACGCGGCACCGGACCCTGGATGCGGACCTGCGGGTGCGAGATCGGACGCCTCCGCACCTTCTGTACTCAGACCGAGACAGGACCTTTTTGGAAGGGGACTGGACCAGCCCCGGTAAAAGTTCTGACCGCAGAAACAGCCTGGAGGGTTACAGTCGCTCCGTGCGCAGCCGGAGTGGCGAGCGCTGGGGAGGGGAAGGGGACAGAGGCATGCCCAAGCCCTGGGAAGACAGGCGCAAGCGGAGGAGCCTTTCCAGCGACCGCGGGAGGACGACCCACTCTCCGTACGAGGAACGGAGCAGGACCAAGGGAGGTGGGCAGCAGACGGACCGCAGCTCGGACCGCACCCCTGAACGCAGCCGCAAGGAGAACCACTCTGGGGAAGGGACCAAGGAGTCAGGCAGCAACTCCCTCAGCAACAGCAGATACGGGCCCGAGGAGCGGGGCCACCACCACCACCACCACGAGGCTGCAGACTCTTCCCACGGGAAGAAAACGAGAGACAGCGAGCGCAATCATCGGACCTCTGAGGCCGAGCCCAAGCCTCTGGAAGAGCCAAAACATGAGACCAAAAAGCTGAAGACTCTTTCGGAGTATGCTCAGACGCTGCAGCTGGGTTGGAATGGGCTTTTGGTGTTGAAAAACAGCTGTTTCCCAACATCTATGCACATCCTAGAGGGAGACCAGGGAGTCATCAGTGGTCTCCTCAAAGACCACGCTTCCGGGAGCAAGCTGACCCAGCTGAAGATCGCCCAGCGCCTTCGACTGGACCAGCCCAAGCTTGACGAGGTCACGCGGCGCATCAAGCAGGGGAGCCCCAACGGCTACGCCGTGCTCCTAGCCACCCAGGCGGCCCCCAGCGGGCCTGGCACCGAGGCGATGGCCACAGTGGAGCCGGGCCTGCAGAGGCGGCTTCTCAGGAACCTGGTCTCCTACTTGAAACAGAAGCAGGCTGCAGGGGTGATCAGCCTGCCGGTGGGGGGGTCCAAGGGCAGGGACATCACGGGCATGCTCTACGCCTTCCCGCCCTGCGACTTCTCGCAGCAGTACCTGCAGTCCGCACTGAGGACACTGGGCAAGCTGGAGGAGGAGCACATGGTGGTGGTCATCGTGAGAGACACTGCCTAACCCCAACTCGGAGCCCTTACTTTTCAGATCTGCTTCCTTCTCTACCTGCTCCCTTGGTTTGAAGTCTCTGCTGGATTAATTTGGTTCTGTCCACCACTAAATTTAAGTTCTTAGATTGTGGGGGATTTTTTTTTTTTTTTTTTTTACAAAAAGAACCCGTTACGTTGACTTCTCTAGTGTATGAGATACTGTCTGCTGTATTCTGTATTTTTTTATTTTTTGACTGTATGGAAAGTTGTCAGTAAAGCCTTTGTCAGGATGGATTTCTAATCCGTTCAGTGTCCGGGTTTAATCAAGTTTCTTCTTCAAAGAACGGGAGGCTTCCCCAGTGCATGCCCTGTGTCGTTTCCAGCACTGCTGCGTCCAAAAGGCCTGCTGTATTTTGGTGGCTCGCAGCTCCTAGGCTGAGACAGGACTCATTTTTAATCTTAGGTGATGCTGGCATACACATCCCTGGGCCCTGCTGGGTACCAGCTTGGTTAGATCCTCTGCAGAGGAAGGGGTGAGCCTAAGGTCTGTGCCAACAGCTACTGGTAGTTTTGGGTTTGGTTTTCCCTGCCCTAAGTGTGTGCCCATCAGTTCAGTCTGTGGTGGTTGGACAAAGTGCCCAAGTGTAAAACCCGTTTTGACAGTGGGTAATTTTCAGCACTTGTGTTACTGTGCGTGGAGGAAGGAGAAGCAGTGCAATATTATCCCAAGAGGTCTCGGTGTCCACAAACTGGTCAGGATCCTTATGGTCCAGCCTCCCTTTCTAGCCTTACTTAGCCCAGGGGGCCTAGAGGACATGGAGGTTTGGAGGCCACTTGCCTTGGTTAACTCTTGAACTTTACTCAGGAGTCTGTGACTTCTGGCTTTTCCTTCCGTCATTCAGGTCTGATGTGTCAGTAAGATGGGCCCAGGCGCACGCGTGGAGCTTTGTGGAGAACAACAAAGTATTTTCACAGTGCTGTCTGGGAGTGCAGTGGGTTCGAAGATGTCCTTGGTAAGTGACCTAACAGTTGCTTAATTCAGTGAAAGAGGAACACTTGGAGAAACAGAGAAATCTGTTGAGAAACAGGTTTTCTTTCAAAAATGAGGTCACAGTCACTGAGGTTTAGGGCAGTGCTAGAGCAAAGCCACTCAAACCAGGCTGGGGAAAGAAAGGAGGTGGAGGGAAAGGTGGCGCGAGCAGTTTCAGAATTCTGCCCTCACTCGTCCAGTTAGGTAGGGGCAGTGGCCACAAGTTCACTGGTGTGGGGACCCAGAGCATCTTACAGCAGAGTCCGACACATCCAGCAGTGCTTCTGTGCGGCATGGATACTCCCACGGAACCTTGGGTCTGAGAGCTGCAAGCTCTGTTAAGAGACGTGAGCTGCCAGCTGATCAGAAACTAGCTTCTCCTGACCAGGTCAGTGCTTCAGCCAACATGGGTGACCGTGGGATCTCAGCTAAGTCCTCTGTACAGGCAGGGCCCCTACAGACCGCGTGGAGGACCAGCCTGTCCACAGGACAGAGCTGTCCCAGACAGAACGTGCGGGAGACTGTGCCTCGGAAAGTACCGTGCGCTGGGCTTAGGCCAGTGCTCCCAAGAACAAGCACTTCCATAACAAAACTTTAACAGCGTTAAATGTGTTTATTTCCCTGTGGCCACAGTTGCCAGGGCTAAGCAGGTCCACTGGGCAGCTCAGGACACACCTAGATAGGTGGCACTGCCAAGCAACAGGAGGGGCCTCGAGTTGAAGCGCGTGGCGGTGTCCTTCCATGTCCTCAAGTCACAAAGCAAAGATGCGTTGCTCTTCCGGGCGGCCTGTTCCTTTACAGAAGGTGGCTCCCACTACCCCAGGGCGAACTGGGTGAAAGGATGCATGCTCCTTAGGAAGCCGGGGAGAGACACCGGCCCTTGCTTTGTCTACCCCTCCTTAGAGGAGGGTCTCCTCTGGTCTCAAAAAATCACCACGGAGTTTTGGTAAAGAGCCCCAGCCCACTGTGTGACCCCTCCCCTCTTCCCCGGACCTCAGCCAGTTCCTCTGGCGTTTGGACAGAGCAGGTTCTGTGATCTCTCGGGCCTTGCCAGCACTGGAGAAAGGTCAGGTGGTCAAGAGCAGCTGCTTCGTGATTTCCCGATGGGAACTGGAACTGCGCTGTTGCCTCCACCTGGGATCAGGTCCTCGGCTGCTCCAAGGGAGAGCTCGAGGCAGTGAGGTCCACCTCACTGGTGGGTGTACTACAGGGCTGTATGTTTCTTCCTAAGTGATTCCTATTTTGACCCTAGAATAAGGAAAAGGGTACATACGTCTTAAGGCATTCTCCTAAGGGTATGTTGTCAAGCCAACCAGACCTCTGCGTTGCTATTAGAGGTGCCCATCTCCACCCGTGAGGCCTGCGGGCGCTCCCACGGGCTCCTGGCCGATTAATGGAGGCGCTCGGCTGTTAGTGCGAGCGCTGCTCCTGACGGCAGCAGTCCTGGCAGTCAGGCCATCCTGGTGAGTGTTAGCTACCACTTAAAGCTGAGGCATGAAGCAGGTGACGAGCTGAGACCTCTGCTCTTAGAGGACCACGAGGTGCCTGTGTGGCCCAAGCCCACTTCAATGTGTACGACAGGCTGTACGCTGTTCCTGAGCCCAGCAGGGCCTTACCTGCCCCTGGAGAGTTTGTCTTATGTTGTTTACTTGAAACAACCAAAAGCACCCCCTCCTCTCCTTGCAGTAAGGCAGAAAAAGTCTCTTCAGCTGTACTCTGTACAGAAACTAAGAGGCTGTTTTTCAGGCAAAAATCAAAGGAAGAGAGAGGGCAGAGTTTCCTATTTATTGTGGGAAGGAAAACGGGTGGGGTGAGAAAGGTAGTCCCTGGTACCTTCTCTGGTGGTTACAGAGTCTAAGCATAGGCCAATTTTAGACACCCCTGAAGCAGCTGCGGACTCGCCCTAACTAAATCTCACTGGCCCTCGATCAGCAGGACTGGAGAACTATCTAAGTCCTGTATCACTCGCCCTTTCAGCAAGCAGTACTGGTGGCCTTGACCCCCAACTACGGGGATGGCTGAAATGCTCTTTAGCACTGTCAGCCCATTCGTTCCTCCAAAATTTCCTAGGCCCGCTGACTGATCGAACTGCCCTCTTGATCCAGAACATGGGAATGGAGAGGCGAGTCCGATGCGGACCATGCCCTGAGCTCTGCCCTGTCTGCTACCCTCCTAAAAGCAGGTCCTCCGCCCAAACCGCAGGCCAGGGCCAGACACTCAGTGAGTTGCTGTTCTCCAGCGTGTGTTAATGGGGCACAATGTTCTCGGCAACACTCCGCTCTGCCTCTCTTGGAAGGCATCTCTGTGTGTCCTACTAGAGCTGCAAGCAAAGGGAGATCCCACTTTGGTAAAAGAAAATAGGGAAAGGCCATAAAAACAAAGACTTGTAGTTTATTTTGTATTTTTTTTTAAATAAATACACTTTACATTAAAGAAAAAGGCCTTTGATTTGTAATTTCCACATTGAGGAGCAAGGGAAGAAAAAAGGTTTTGAAAAACTGAATCACAAAGAAGAATAGAGGGAGTGAACTTATATCCTAAGTTCCCTCAACTCCACAAAACCAATATCCACAATGACCATACTGCCCATAAACCATGAAGGTGGGTAAATTTAGGCATTTCCTCAGCAAACAACCAGTGCCGCCTTCTCCACTTCTGGCATGACGGAAAACAAATTAACCTGACAGCATAGGAGGCAACAAAACAGGCTAAAAAATCATATATTATATTTATAATAAAATATTCTTAATCCTTATCAATTTAAGAAACCACGATTTTCCTTTTCATTTAAATACGTATGTAAAAATGCCTCTATTGTGTTTTAGACATCATTTTCTTCCAAAGAAAATGAAGTGCAGAGACAAGAGACATGGTGGATATAAGTTCATACCCTCAGTTATAAATGCGTGTATTTTTTTTCTTTTTTTAAGTTTTATAAAAAACTATTTCTTGTTCTTTAAGTAAAGAACATTATACAAAGAAAATATATCGTGAAATAACTCGAGGCATGTTTTGTTTTGTTTTTTTTTCCCTTGAGGAAAGATATGTCCATCTTAATGGGGGTGGTGGGGGTGGGGTGGGAAAGCAAAATAGGGCCTAATCCCTGCTGTCTTTCTGTGGTTGTTATTGTTCTTAGAAGGACCCTCAGAGTCCAGTGAGACTTGAAACCATAATCTTCTGAATACAGGGCATGCAGTTCCTTAATAGACAGCCCTGGGAAAAAGGAAAGGAAAGGTGTTCTCAATTCATACAACTCCGTTTCTCGCGTGCCAAGAATCTCTTCCACATGGTGATGTCTCCTCACTCATTCAGAGATAAGATGATGTCATCTTCCAAATCAGAGTTGTCAGAGCTGTCAGCTGAAAGGTAAAGGAGACACTAGATGATGCACTAGGGTTACAGGAAGCACCTGCATCACATCCACTTATGCCTCCATAGGGTTAATTACCAACTTCCAGAAAGAAGAAAACACATCAATTAACTCCTTGGAGCTGGCTCCGGAGAATACACCTGTTGCTGGCAACCAAGATCAGCCCTGGGACCTCCTGCTCTCCCACCTTTTGAAAGTCCTGCACTTCTCGGAAACTTCCTACCTTGGAGGCCCCAAAGGGTTCGGGCTAGCGCACGGTCTGAAGCCCCACTCACAGCACTTGGGAGAACGTGGGGCTAAGAACACTGGACAAACCTCCTGGCCCTGGCCTTCTGGCGTCCTTACAGGGATGGGCACAGGCCTGCCTGTACCACTGAAAAGGGAAGATGGGTCCAAGCAAAGTAAGTTTTCTTAACCTCTTAGCTGCTCTTTTCTGCAGTCCTTATAGACTATAGGCAGAAATAGTCATCCTAGGATTCACCCCATCATTTCTGCAAATAATCTGAAGGGAACAAATTCACAGAAAAGTATACAGGCCAGCTTTCAGTAATACCAAAGAAGGATCAACCAATCTAGACGTGAGACGGGAGGCAGGGAGCAGCTCTGACACCCTAGGAGCTTGTCTTTGACAAGGACCCTCTGCTCAACTGCCAGCCTTCTCAGGTGGGGAACGGAACACACTGACACATTTGGATGGGTTGATTAAGGGTAAAGTTTGGCGGTAGCCACAAGCACCCTAAGATGAAATAAATACACCTTCTCCGTCTGACTGAAACCACAGAAACGGCACCTAGCTCTGTTTGCTAAGCGAAGGAAACAGAAAGGCTTCAGTACCCACTTTGATTACTCAACTCAGAAAGCTAGGACATGATTTCAACAAGGTTCCCAGGAAAGTGGGAAGACGGAGCCTGAGGCCTGCAAAT